CAAATAAATACAATTCCACTGCAAATTTTTCATCCTTTGCCTTTGTAAAGTCACACAGAACTACAGGCAAGGTAAAGAAAAATGCCAATGTTGAGACAAAACTGAATTTTGAAGCATTTTTACCCTCAGAATTTGTGATATCATGGGAAACACTCAGTAATCATAAATGTCAATTACAGGAACCAGCTTGAGGAGTGACCTTTGTGTTGAGCTTCCCAGTGAAAATAAATGTGATTAAAAAGCAAACAGCCCCTGTCCAACAAATCTTGGGTGGTTTTGTGTGGGACTGATCTGTGCACCTGTAAAATCCACCCTCAGTCCCAGGCTGAGACTCAGGGAAAGGGAACTGGGCAATCTCCTTTTATCCTTGCACTGTGAATTAACTTTCATGAAGTGAATCCAAGCTGCTTTTCAAGAAGTGAAAATTAGTGGCCACTGAAATTCTGTTTTTTCCACTATCCAGGAACTTGGCACCCCTGAATTCCTCTCTGGGGGAAATTTGTGTCACAAATTTCTGGTGTGAGCAGAGGGAAGTGAATCCCTGACCTGTCCCAAGTGGTGAAAACCTGGCCCCTGTGGATCCTGCCAATTCCCTGGCCAAGGTCTCCCATGGAAAAGATGGATGGGTCACTTTGTAACAGAAATATTGATTTGAATCACGTCTGATGGGACCTTTGGTTGTGGAGGCCCTGGGAGGATAAAGAGGTGATAAATAAACCAGGTTATCCCAACCTCACCTTCTCCACATGCAGCTCAGGGCACGGGCTGGGGAGAGCAAAAGCCATTTAGGGATGAATTCCCACAGGAATGGGGAAGATGGAAAGGACGGGACATCCTACCACTGTAAAACTCAAATTTAAGTTTCTTTTCTGAATTGTTTCATAATGAGCCCTTCTGCATTAGCCCAGCTGTGTCCCAACACCGTGACAAGGAATTCCCAAGGCACTGGGATGCTCTGACTCCCAAAGGACTCAAAAGGAGAGAGCAAACCATGAGAAATAACAACATTCCTGGGATTGCCCACTGCCTGTGAGCAATCAGCTGCTGGCTTTGCTCAAGTGTGGTTTTACCCCAGATCCATCCTGGGTTCTGCACAAAGCACAGCTCAGGAGCTGTCAGATTGTACAAGGGTGACAATTCAGCTCTGAGAGGCTGATTTTCAATTCCCAGGCTCAGCTTGCATATTGGTCAAACACACACACACAGATGAGATTTGGAGTTTGTGCTGTGAGACCGATTTGGAAGTGCAGCTCTTGTTTGAGGAGTCTCACAGGGCTGAAATGTAACACTTGCACGAGCACAGGAATTTTGCCAGGGACGTGGGAAAACAAACACATTATCAGAAATACAATTTACAGGCATCCACTGAAAGGTCAATGGGAAAGCTCCTCCCATCCTTCAGGCAGCAAATGGAACAGAAAAGAGGAAAACTCACCCAGGATCCCAGCACGAGCAGCAGCAGGAGCAGCCTCTAAAGCAATCCTCAATTAAATACAAGATTTATAGAATTAGAGTTGCAATATGTTATTGATTGACTATGGATATCTCATTGACTGCAGCCAAGAATCCTTCCCTGCCTGCTCCTCTCGAGCAGAGATTACAGGAACAAAACAAAGAGGGAATTGAGATCCAGCAGTAAATCCTGAGACACTCCAGGAGCTGATTTTACAGCAAGGAAAAGTGTGTTTGTTTGATCCAAAGTGACACCTTGGTTTGAGGCAAAAAAATGAGAATATGTAATTGACCACAGGAGCCACTTTTTATGAGAAGGGCAATTTTTCTGCCTCTGTAACAACAGTGTTGTTTTACTGCTGTGTAAAGTCACTTCTGCTTGCAACTTGCATCGTGTAGCAGGTACCTGAGGTGGAAAATATTACATAAAACTCATCTGTTTTCTGAAGCATTCACTTAGAGATACCCAAGCCATGGTTTTGGGCATGGACAGCACACAGGGATGGATGTTCTTAGTGCTGATGTGTGTTTTAGCTCCAACCTGCAGGGACAACCACAACAGCACTGTAAAAGATTTCAGTTTTCTCTTGAGTTCTCCTCCTAAACTGTCCTGAAAACAAGAAAGTGTATACACAGCCTTCTACTTAATGCACTAGTTCCCAAAATTCTGCAGTGAGGACTAAAATCACCCAGAGAATATATTCATTTTCTTCGACAGGCTTTTAAAATAATAGTTTATTTTTTTGAGTCAGTGGTATATTTAAAAACAATCTACTGTAAGAGTAAAAAGATTGTAGATAATAAAAAAAACCAAGTGTGATGACAATAAAAAACCACTAGAATACAAAGTTAGTTTCCTTCCTCCCTCCCAAAACCCCATCCCATCAGTCTGATATTTCTCAGAGTTTAATATCTGGAAAAAACCCACTTTTTGTCTTTCCTTTACACTTTCAGCAATTAAGAAATTAAGAATACATAAAGCATTCTTTGCAGGCACATTAATCATTATGACGTGAAAAGCAGGCACCATAAAAATTAAAACATTCTAAAAACCATCATATATACAAACACTGTACAGAATGATGGCACAAGGACAAAGTGATTCCGCTCAGTTCATCCTAATCCAATGTGAAATATTACACAACAGAGAAAGGAAAAAGCTCTTCCCGTTTCTGTATTCAACACTTAGGTTCAGAATGACCAGGAGTCTCCTCTCTGCTCGCTGTTTGCTCTGCCATATCCTCGTTGGCAGCTCCAAGGCTGTTGTTTTCCCCTCATGGACACCCCAGCTGAATGGCAGTGGCAGTGGGTGATCACCAATGGTTTTACAGAGCCCATTAATCACAGATCATCCTCAGCTGGGAGGGACCCTCAGGGACCATGGATCCAGCTCTTAGCCCTGCACAGACACCCCAAAATCCCACTGAGAGCAGTGGCCAAACCCTCCTGGAGCTCTGGCAGCCTCAGGGCTGTGCCCATTCCCTGGGCAGTGCCAGCACCCTCTGGGGATGAACCTTTCCCTAAATCCAACCTAAACCCCCCAGGCCCAGCTCCAGCCATTCCCTGGCTCCTGTCCCTGATTGTGACAATGAATTGTGGCCTTTCCCTCAGCAGGATGCTGCTGACCCACCAAGGCCTCCCCTCAGCCTCCTCTCCTCCAGCTGAACGTTCCAAGTGCCCTCAGCTGCTCCTCACACGGCTTCTCCTCAATCCCTTCCCCTTGGACACTCTCTAACAGTTAAATGTTTTATTTATATTGTGACTGGTGCCAGCCTGGTGCCACCCCAGTCACTGTCACCCACCCTGAGCCAGCTGCTCACCCGTCCCATGATGTGTTCCTCCAGCTGTAGGATGGACATTTTGTCCAAAAGCATCCTGTGGCAGATGTATCAAAAGCTTTGCAGAAGTCCAAGAAGATTCCATCTCCTGGTTTTCCTGGATCAGCCAGCTGGGTTACCCTGCTGGGGTAAAGAAGGAAATTGGGTTCCACAAGCAGGACTTTCCCTCGTGGAGCTGTGCTGGCTGTGAGCCATGACTGCATTGTCCTCCAGGTGTGTTCCAGGACCTCCCAGAACAATCTTCTCCATTATTTTACTGGGCCTGTAGTTTCCAGGGTCCTCCTTCTTGCCCTTCCTGAAAATCAGGACAACATTCCCAGCTTCCATCAGCTGGGACCTCTCTGGATTCCCCAGACTGCTCAAAAACCATCAAGAGGAGTTTTATGATGGCATCAGCAGCTCTTTGAGGACTCTGGATGAATCCCATCAGGGCCCATAGATTTGCAGGAACTCAGCTGGGGCTGCAGATCCTGCAGTTTCAGGCTGCTGGGAGTTGATCATTGCCACAGTCATGGTGCTCCAGCTCAGGGCACTGGGACCCTCTTGGTCTGTGCCCCCACATTGAAGACAAACAAGGGATGTGTTAAACACCTCTGTCTTGTCCCTGTCCCTGTTTGTGAGGTGCCCATTCCCACCCTAGAAGGGGCTGATGACATTTTTACACTGCCTTTTGCCATTGATATATTTGAAAAAGACTCTTTTTTTGGTCCCCAACAGTTCTGGCAGCTCCAGCTGAGCTTTGACCACAGGAGTTTTCTCCCTGTAGTGGGGAGCTGCAGCTCTGTGCTGTTCCCATGCCCCTGACCTTGCTTACACTGGCACACACCTTCTTTTTCCACCTGATATCCAAGAGGAGATCCCTGTTCAGCCAAGCCAGCTCTGCTTGACTTCCAACATTTGGGAATTGCTGCTCCTGTGCCCTTGGGAGGAGATGTTTAAAAAGGGACCAGCACTGATGGACCCCAGCACCTACAAGAACATTTTCCCAGGGGACCTCACAAATTCCCTGAGCAGCCTCATGGTCAGAGGGGAGGTTCTGCTGGCACTTTTCCTCCTCTCACCAGAGGTTTTAAACTCGATGGCATCGTGGTCACTGTGGCCAAGACAGCCCCAAATCCCCACTGTGCTCATTGCAATCAGGTTATTTGTAACACAGACCAATTTCACAAATCAGCGGCGTCTGATTTATAACCCTGGGCTAAAATCCCTGTTATTCAGGGAAATCCTACAGCAGCTTCACCTCACTGGGAAACCTCCTCTTGCCCTGAATTCCAAGCGAATATTGTCATTGATTCCTATATACACTGAGATTAGATACAAAAACTCTGCTCATTTGAAGCTCCAGAGGTACCCAAAACCTTTAGGTACAACATTTCCAGCTCTCGTTTTGATCTGCACGTTCAGCTCTGTGCCTGGCGTTATCCAGAAGCAGGGAGAAGGTTTAGGAAGAGGGTTCTGTCAGTTGATGGAGTTCCCAAGTCTCAAGTAGAAATCCAGATTTCTTTCAAGTCATGGGAGGGAATGATCCCAAAAACAAGGGGATGTAGTGTTGGGTCCGACACACGGCGAGAAATGGATTTCTTACGGAGTTACCATTGCACTAAATGTTAGATACTGCACACCTGAATGAGGTAAACATTACAGACCATAAAATACTTAGGGAAATGAATTGTTACAGCTTGATCTTTGGAAAATAACCCGCTTCCTTCTTCACTGGACAATCCCAGAGTCAACAGACGTTTGCTTCCGTGTCGTCTTGGGAGGCGGCGGCGGCGGAGTCTTGCTGGGCAGAGGAGGAGGCAGGTGCTGGAAAAAACCAATTTGGGCAGGTCATGTTAGGAATGAACGGAATTCTGCAACGTTTTTGAGTCATCTCTGAGTGCAAGAGGCAGCAGGTGGGTCTGGAGCGCTCTGGCTCACAGAAACCTCTCCCTGCAGAATTTGCTGCGAACACAGAACGCTCTCAGCCATTACTTTTAAATACAACTTTGACTTTTGACAGTGAAAAAAAATCTCTCAGGAGTTCAGGATTAATTAGCTCAATATTTAAGGGAAAAATCTTTTGAAAGCACTGGAGAAGTTTATAATTCCCCACTTTATATCATGATAGGATATTGATTTCTTGGTCTGTATCGATTGCCCTCAGCCTCTAGGCACTCAGAGCTTAAAAACCAAGCTGAAGCAATGGCTTCATTGCTTTTCCATTATGTTTTGGATTTTGCACAGTTAGAACAGAAATATTAAAAAAAAACAAACCAAGAAAGGAACAATTTAAAATCATTTAGAGAGATAAGCAACTCACAATTTACTATTACACACAGAGTTATAATTAAAATATTCCAAACAGAAATGCAGAACGTTCAAATATGCGTATTTTAAATCACTTTACATATCTCACAACAGAAAAGCATCCCCAGTCAGAATCACCAGCTAATTGGACAAATTAAAAAAGCCATTATGGAAATTAAGACCTTTTTTCCCTAATGTTGAAACCTACAAGTGATAAAATCTGTTGCAGAAAGAGCTGGAGCGCAGCGCAGTTTGCAGGCAGGTTTTCCCAGATTTTGGCAGTGCAGGCAGCACAGGTTTCCCAGAGGCTGTACTGCAGTGTCACAGCTCATCAACTCTGCTCTGCCTTTGTTTTTCCCTCTGATTCTCCCCCAGTCCCCAGTCAGGGCCTTTTGTTTCCCTCCAAGCCCAGTGATGCTTTCCCAGCTCTTTGTTCCTGTCCTGCCTCCCCCAGCCCTGCACCAGCTGCTGGCTCCACGCAGGCACAGCCTGAGGAGCTCCAGCTCTGCCCAAATTCCTTGGCCAGCCCTGCAAGAAGAGCCCAAGCAGCTGCAATGCCTCAGTGCTGGACAGAATTCCTGGTGGTTTGGCAGGATCAGGAAGATCCTGGTACCTGAACAAGTGAGAAACCCCGTGGAAGTGCACAGAACCAAAGCCGGTCCTTTCCAAAGCTATCCAGGGATGCTGTCCCAGAAAGGAGAGAGGCTCAGGGTGATGCCAGGACACCTCAGTCCCTCCTGTGCTCAGAGCAGCTCCTGATGCTCCTGCAGTCTCACAACTGGGAGTTTTCAGAGATCAGTAAGAGCAGAAGAAAAATGACCTGTAAGCTGACTAAACACGCTCTCCCAAGCAGGTTTGAAGCCAGCATGGAGTTACAAATCTGAGATTTCACCAGACAGTTTTACTGACCACAGGCTAAGGAGAAAGCAGGAATGCAAACTGGCTGAGCCAGGCAGGCTGGATCTTTGCTGGAATCTCTTTCCTGTACCCTGCCTGAACAGCACCACTTTTCACTCCATTTTACACCTTTCCTTATTCCTCCCAGGCAAAGGAACAGGGATCCCAAACCATCACCAGTGCGCCATGCCCTGAGCTTGTCTCTCCATTCTGCTCCATCCACTCTCCATTTCCCAGCCCCTCCAGCAGCACCACTGCTCTTTCTGCCTGCTCCCAGCCTCCTCCTTGGCTTCAAAATGCTCTCTGGCACCTTGAAAATCCATTGGGATTGCTCTGCTGCTGAGGGGACACTGGACTGGATGATTTTAGTGGCCTTTCCCACCCTAAATGATGCCATGATGTGTCCGGTTTTCGGCTGTTTGGAGGGCCTGGAAAGGCCCGGGGTGGCCTTGGGGCAGCCGCGTATCAAAGGACGAGAAGAGGCTTCAGTTCTTCTTTCGGTCTCTGTGTTTATTAATTGTTTATCTAAAAGATTTTCTTTCGGCCCGACAGAGCTCTGCTCAGCAGCCAGCCATGAGCACACTGTGCTGCCCTCCGGACAGTCACCTATCTTTATACCCATTGTTACGTGTACAATATTTATCATTTTTCCCCAATACTTTTCACCCTTATTGCCCGGTGCACTTTTAGTAATGACCAATCTCAAAGTGCCACCATCACCACAGAAGATGGAGGAGAAGAAGAAGAAGAAGAAGAAGGACAGGACACGCCCCAATTCCTCCATCTTACTTCTCTAAACCCCCCTGTACAGAAATCCTAAACCCTGTGTCTCACTCTCTAATTAACTGATCCCTTCACCATTCACCCCGGTGAAACCCTCCTGTCCTCATACAGGTGTCGTCTCCTGTGTAGGATCAAAGTCCAGCCACCAGACACTTCTGGAACATTCCAGGACTCCCGAGCCCCCCAAGGGTGGTCTCGGTGACACCTCAGTCCTGAGGTGCTGAGATCCCACAATGATGTCCCACAGCAGGCTCCAAATGGGCACTGCTTGTTCCCAGCTTCCAGGGGGACATGATGATCTCTGAGTCAGAAGAGTCAACAGATTAATATGAAAGGCAGATAAAATAAGAATTTAATTTTTTTACTACACGCAAAACTGAAGATTTTGTTTGGTTTTTAATTAAAATGCCACTGCTGATCTGCCTCTGAAGTGTTGCAGCCAGAACTATTAAATATTTCTTCTACCTGAGCAAATCCACTCTTCACTCGGCGTGTTAACTCCTGAACTCCTGCTAAGGCACCTGAATAAATGTCAATTGGGATCTGAAGATTCCAAAACCTTTGAAAACCTGCTTAATCACAGTCCTGTGTCTGGGAAAGCTCTGGGAAATGCTGGTGGTCTGCAGAACATGAACATCTCATGGAGCTGACATTCCCTTCAAACTCCATAAACCACGTGCCCCTCAAAAAACACAGCACAAAATAGAAAACTTTCCTCCCTGCTTTGCTCTCTTTAACTTCATATTCATCACCAGGAAAAAACCCACCAACTCTGCTGATAGCATCATTTGTGCAAATCCATTTTGAATTTAAATAACACTCTATTGGCAATAATTCTCAATTCAATTAGATCAAAGGCATTTCTCAACCAAATGAGCCCCTTCATATTGATCAGAGAACAATCAAATCAGCCCTGAAAACCTGGTTCTGAAAAGCAGAGACAATGCAAATACAATGAGAAGAAGCTAAATATATATGCTATAAATAACAAGCTCAAAACCTACCCGAGCTCAGATTCTGCAAGCAAATTAGGCAGAAAGAAATAGCAGAGATAGGTAGATAATTATTATAATTGAATTTACAATTTCCATTAGAAAGTCGGATAAATTTAGCACTTGTTCATTTATATAATAAGCTCCCAATGAATATATTAAGTAGGATGTGTAATGCTGGTTGGGGTGACACTGTTGGGGATTTTGCAAGACAAAACATTCCATTATGGAGCTGGGGCAACTCCAAAGCATCATTCCCAGGGCTGATCCAGCCTTCCTTTTATCCAGGACAGAAGAAATTCAACCCCATTTCCTCCCTCCCTTTAACACCACGCTCACAAAAACCATTATCAGGCTTATAAAGTTCATCTGTGCTGTGCTTCCCCTCAGAAACTTTGCAATAAAAATAGAGTTTGCCTTGATTTTGTGTTTAATTAAGACTCTCTTTGCTGAGTTGGTGTTTATATCTCAGTGGTTAATTGTGATCCTGACTCTTCCCTTTCCTTCCTGACAAACTGACAGAGGCTGCTGCTTCACATCCCAACCTATTTTGGGCAGAATCCTTGACTCAGGGGTACCTCAGGGGAAGCAGAAACCTTATGTAAAAGGCACATCTGCAACACAGAAACAATCTGTTCCTGCTGCTTCAGACATGAAATTGCTCCCATTTGTTTGCTGGGTTTTTTTTCTTTCCCTGATACAGAAAAGAATCAAGTTTAAAAACATTTGTCTGTCTACTCTTACAGAGAGATATAAACTGCACTCCACCAGGCGTGTTCAAGATGTAGTAAAAATCAATTACAGAAGATGAGAAAATGCTTTTTTTAAAATTTTTTTTCTGCTACTCTCAAGCAGCAAAATGAGAGACGAGTTGTGTTTTGTTCATAGAATACTGTTAAAAGAAGCAACTACCAAAAAATCAAACAGGATTTGACTCTCCAAAAGGGTCCTTGTGGCACTGCATGAGATTTCTTCCTGTGCAAGGGACTCTTTGCAATTCAGTGGTCATTGATAGGACATGCTCTGGAGATCCAGGGAGAAGCACTTTGGTTGGAAGAATTAAGGGATCTAATTAGGTCAGAAGCAGCAGAAATGGGATGTAAATAGACCATCAGCCACCCAGGACTGTGAAAATGTTTCAGACACTGAGTTGTTCCTTCAGCACGGAGCTGAGGTGCCTGACAACAACGTGGTTATTTCATATCTGCAATGAAAAATAACATTTGAGTCTGAGGCTCTGGCAGAATAACTCTCCAGCAGGGAGAACAGCCCAACTCCACTAATGGCAGCCAAATTACAGACAGTTTAAGCTAATTGGCTGTTTGACCCAGGGAGCAAAGTTCTGTGCAAAATCCAGCAGGTAACTGATGGGAAATGACTGTTTAGCCCCTGGTTCATCCATCATCTATTAGAGACTCATTTGACTCTGTGGCACAGCCATTACCTGTCCTTGCTGGGGTGCCCTGGCACCAGGGAGAGGAGCTGGAAGGGTTCTCCTGCAGAGATGTGGGAGATGTGTGCTCTCATCCCAGCCCCTCACAGGGAATGCAGAAATGCCTCAAAATGGGAAACAGGGAATTGCTCCAGGTCACAATCCCAGAGCAGATCAAAGGGGCTGCTCTGCTCTGAGCCAGGCTGGAGAGCTGGGGGTGCCCACCTGGAGAGGAGCAGCTCCTACCATCTTAAGATGATGCTCATCAACATCTTAACCCACTGAAGAGTGAGGGACTGGCACAGGAGGAAAGGCTTGCAAGGTTTCCCATCCCCAGCAGGCAAAAACAATGATCAGATAGCAAATAAACCCTGTCGTGTAATTTGTTTTTTTCTTCTGGGTACATTGTCCAA